TTTCAATCACGGCTAATATAGCTACTCAAAATTCTATATCGCTTTTTGAGAACATTCCAAGCGAACAATAATTTCTGAAAGTTCTTTTAAATGGTTCAATTGTGGTTCCCACTTCATTGTTTTCACGTTCATTCAGCAAACATCAAAATCAACTAATTTCATCATAAAATATGCATGAAGACGCTTCAAAAATGCAACTTTTCCATTTAGAAAAAGTGCAATAATTTTTGTCCGCAATATTTTCATGTGCTTTGTAGATGAAAATGACCTTTTTATGTGTAGTGTATGTCAAAAATATTGTGAAAAAAAATATTTGCACGTTTTCTAGATGCAAAAGTTGCCTTTTTGAAGCATCTCTATACAATTTTTATGATGAAAGTAGCTGGTTTTGGTGTTTGCTAAATGGACGTGAATACGCTCAAACGAGAACCACGATTAGAGCGACTCAACACGGTTTTAGAAATTCTTCTCTGTTTGAGATTGAAACAAATGCATATCCAAAATATGAAAGGGTTCCTGGTTTTACTTTCGCGAAAGACCACTTTTAATGGTTTTAAAAGCATTAAAATTGAATGTCTTAATCTATTTTGTAAATGTTATTTTAAATATGCGTTTTAAATTACTTATTTTGCTCTATTTATAAGTAACAATCTTAAGCTTCTAGCATTTTTCGTTCAAACACAGTAGGCATCGACATTTGTGCAGATATTTATGTATCATCGATTATGAATAAAGATAGGATAAAAAGAATCTCTGTGCCAAACACAATTCATTTGGCTATGATTCATTTCCCATGTGCATTGGATGTTTCAGTAGGAATTCTTAATGAAGACCTTTAAAAAAGAAAATTTAGTATAATTATACACACTATATTTCAATATGCCAGTTGTTCGTGAAAAAAAGAACATTTCGAAGCAACATTTCCTTGATTTCTTTCAAGTAGCAAGCAAAACTTGCTCAACTAGTTATGAAAATCTATCGACAAATAGTAGTCTTTATATTATACAATGCTTTTATTCGATAAACAGTATTGTATCTCCAGCATTCAAAACAATTTTATATTATTTTTAATTTGTTTTCAACACATGAACTAAATTTATCAATTTTTGTCATATTAGCAGTCATTTTCTCATTGGCAATGGATACAATTTGTGAAATATAATTTTCGTCAACACATAGACGTCCTCCAATCACTAATGGTACTTCAAGTGCATGAGTTGAACGTATAGCAAGTGTAATTTTTCCTTGATTTGACATGACTAAACCAGAATTTCTATAGCCACATTCAAGAGCAATATTAAGTAATATTTTCGCACATTCTAATGTTCGACAAATAATATGTAAAATGAATGCTTCAAATTTAATTGAAATCATATCAATATCTTTTGGTCGTTGTTCTAAACAATTCAATATTGCATTTAAATCAGCTTGTGCATGTGTAACATATAGCCACTGACAATCGCTTTTTGTTGATGACGTTACAGTTGGTGTTGATGAAAAAACAATTGTTCGACCAGAACATGATGAACTTGTATAGTAATCATTATGATTATTTATTTGGTTAATTAAAATAACAATATAATCATCTATAGAATGTTTACGTGATAAATCTTCTTTATCATTTGATAATGCATCGTGTTTCCATTGATCAAAATGTTTAGACATTTTCTTTTTGTTTTCGTGAATAAATCAAAATCTACAATTGTTATCTTGATTTTTTTCGTAAAAAAAGAGGTAAAGAAAAAAAAATACATTTTGATTTTTATTGTGTATCATTAGTATACAAATTGTATGATTTACAAAATAAATAAAGTTACATAAATGATCTGCCTGATTTTCATTTGCAATTTGATCTATTTCTTCTTGTGGGACTATTATTATTCAAAAGCAATACCAAGAAGAAAACCACCGATAAATGAAGATGTTATAGCTACATTTGTCAAAGCAAACTTTTTTAACTAAAATAAAAATAAAAAAGGATTTATATAAATATGTGAAACGCTTAATTTCTATTAAGTTACATACTGAATCAGTAATACTGTTTGATGATTGATCAATAAATGTTTCAATATCTTCTCCATCTATAGTAGTTGTTGGTGGTGGAAGAGTTGATCGTGCTACACGTTGAACATTATTTAATTGTTGTTGTGCTGTATCACGAATTCGATCAAAATGAATATCAATATAACCAGATTGATTAGCAAGCTAGACAAAGATAATGGATGACAACCCTTTCGATCATCAAAAAAATAATACTTTGGATCATCAACTTTTTTCAGTACTCTTTTTACATTGTTATTTCTCAATAAAATGTAGGTGCTGATCTAGACCGACGACAGTCTCACCTTCGCATTCTCTTATGCTCCTCACTCTGAATCTAGATTTAGACTGAAAGATTTCTTTCTCATCCCATCATATTCATAGATTTACACAACATATTAAAATTCTTATACAAGCAGCAAATATTAACACGTTCGTACTAAAGAAGACTTAAAAAACATTCAGTTGCGTATGACGAAATGTTGGGCTCTACATGGTCAATGACTTGAAGTAGTATCCCTTTGTAAAAATTGAAGAAGAACTGTACCAAAAACTCGAATTAGATAAACTAGAAGCTGCCGAAAGTTTTTCTCACTTTCAATCACTGAGCTTACAAATTTTAACAAATATTTTCAACAAAGTGAACAAATGCACAATGTATTTGCTTTTTTTATGAATGCTATTGCTTCAGCATTATTCTGCTTTTCAGTGATGTAGATCAACAGCGCTTCTTCCAATAGTCGAAATCAAATAAAAACAAATGGTGGCATGTCTCTTTAAATGCACATCTATTGAACAAGTTGTGAATCTTTTCTGATCCGTACCAACTGTATACAGTCCAAAATGTGAGTTAGAAATCAGAAGCACTAACTGCATTTCATCTGAGTGGCATAAAAAGATTCACTTTGCTCGTCTTTATTCTTAAATTCCTGGTGAAGACCTTATAAAGATCGTTGAGCCTACTCTAGATTTAAAACGTTTCGCTGCCTATGAATGTGAATAAAGAAGTGTATAAATCGTGTCGAAGCACTCGAGAAGACATAATGATCAATCAAAACTAGAAAAAAATTCGTGATCAAAAATACTTTTTCTCAAGATAATGCTGAGAAAAAGGATGAGAACAACTATTGAAAGTCAAACTTACAGCTAAGCCAATAATAGATGCACCAATAGCAAATGCTACCATTTTACTAGCTTTAGCAAAACAATATCCAGTTGCACTATAATACAGGTTAACAGTAACAATTGATTAATATGATATGTCAGTGAACTTACATGCCGGAAAGACCACCGACAGCAGCTTGCTTTGGTGGACTTAATTGAGTAATTTCATGAAGTGCACGTTCAACAATTTGATATATTGTTCGATCATCATCATGATTACGAATTGGAGTAGCAACTAAAATTTATAATTTTTCTCTAATTTAATATTGATTCTAAATCAAACCTGTACGAGATTGAATAACTGCAGGACTTCGATAATTTTTATCTCTTGATTCCATAACCAAAAAAAATTATAAAAAGTTCAAAGAAATAAAATCAAAACTTTGTCTAAAAAAAGAAATTCTCTTTTGTTAAACAAATTAATGGAAAAGATTTGTAGAAATAAAAACGGAAAGAGAAAAATTGGACGGAATTCATTAAAATGAAAAGAAATATTCAATGAAAATGTATCTATATACTGAGATTCGTCATTGACAAATACCAATAACACCAGCAGCAAGTCGATTAGTACCAGTTGTACTCGATCCTTTATTCTCTTCAGTTTCAACTCGTGCTAATTCTTCTTCTTTTTCATCAATAATCACTACTGATCGACCAATAATAGATGAAGGACCAAATAAAGTTAACCGTTTATCAATAACATCAATCTTTGTTTGACCTTCTTGATTGACTTGTAAATTCCCAAATTCATCGCCAACATAAGATGTTTGATCTTTTGATGTATTTGGAACTTGTTTTTCTGGATTAAAACGACTACCAGTTGATACAGGACCATTTGTTAAATCACCAAATTCATGTACATGTATAGTAAATTTACGATCATTTGGTAAACCTTGTATTTCACCTGTTATTTTCATTTGATTCATGCCAATCATTTGAGCAAAATGTATTACTCCTTGAATAGTATTATTTTCACCACCTTTAAGAACACATACAGCTCGTATAGTAGCTGAATCTTGTTGACTTGGCATTATTTTAATAGAGTTTTATATCTAAAAACTAGATATAATTTATTTATTAAAAGTCTTGCTTCTGTATTTGACAAAAAAGAAAAAAAACAATCAATCAAGAAAAGTACAAACATATCTTGCTATCAAGAATTTTCTTCAAAATTGAATTTATTCTAAACAAATTAAATTTAATTCAACTTATTATATCATTTGTATTTGTTCATCAATCGTTTGCATGAAATATTTTATTTTGCAAACATCATTGATTATTTTCTTAACAACAAAGAATCATTTTCTGCTTACATCATCATCAGAACAATTTTCATTTTGTTTCAATTTAAATGTAATAACTTCACGAATTAAATTATTATCATTTTAAGGAAACCTTTTTCTTGTATTGTGTGTCCATTTACAAATTTATTTTTCTTGTTTGTTCACAAAACTCAGCAGTTTCTATGATGTAATCCATATATTACCAATTTCTACAATAAGCATTCTCATTCCAATCTAAAATGACGCCGTATGTCTATCAAAGAAAAAATAACCTAGTTTTCATTAATCACAAAACCTCGAACCGTTTTTTATTTAAACATTACAAACAAAGAAGTAAGCTTTAATCAAAAAGCAAAAGGATAACGATGTTTAATTTGAAAAACCCATCACTAACAATGAACAGGACATAGCTTGCTTGTTTAAGATTTAATTAATGACATGTAAGGAAAAATTAAAGAGGTTCGAACAGAAACTAGACTAATTTCGATCGAAGAAAATGTTTATTTGATTGAATTACTTTTTTTCTGGATTGACAGTACCAACAATACCACAAGCTAAACGTTTTCCAGCATTACCAGTTTTTTTCGATTCTTCATCACCACCACGACCTAAGTCATCTGGTTTTTCATGAATAACCAAACAACGACCAAGAATTGAATGTTCACCATGAAGAGCTATTACTTTATCTTTAATATTCAATGTTACCACACCATGAGCATCCGATTGAACATTTCCTAAATCACCCACATGTCTAAAAATAGATAACAAAATCGAATTACAAAAAAAAGAGCCAAGAACTAATTTTACCGATCAGCATCATCAGGACCAGCATGCTGTTTTTTATGTGGATTAAAATGTGTACCTGCTGATGTACATCCCTATAAAATGAAATGTGTAGATCTAAATTAACCAAAACACAAAACTTACATTGCTAACATCACCAAATTCATGAATATGAAAGCCATGTTGTGTATTTTCTCCAAGTCCTTCAATTTTTCCTGTCATAACAACTGTATCACCATTTTGTTCAAATTCAACAACACCATAAACTGGTTTTTTTGATGATCCAGCTGTCGTACTCAATTTTCCTTCATTCGATGTTTCTCCACTGCCACGACCCCACTGATCTTTATTACCAGCAACATGAACTTCATCACCAATCAAGACAGCTTTAGCTCGTAGAGTAGTCATGTTTAGTAATAACAGAAGTTTTAAATAATTTTTCTGAAACCGTGAGACAAGAAATAGATTATTTAAAATGCACTCAGTAACATACAAAAGAGGGTAGCGCCCGAAACACCCCCAATCAAATGAATGACTCATTCAATTTCTTGGATTTATTGGCAGTTTAAACAGACGAATAGGAATTAAATAAAAGAAAGAGAATATACAATAAATATTCATACAATTTAATAGGAATAATACTAGTTTGTATCAAATTTTATTTCCTTGTTAATAAAAAAATTAGATCTCGATCGAAAAAAAAAATGATATGTGAAAAGAAGGCCTTGTCTTTAAATCTCTTTGAATGATTGGTGGTCGGAACATAACGATGGAGATGCGCATTACTTCTTCAAATTACATACACGCTCGTCCCCCCCCCCTCCCACTTCACCCTCGCATAGTACTGTGCCAGCCAATGTGTGTATATGATGTGTATGATTTGTAAAAGAATCAGGATACCCATCTCTTATTTTGAGAAAATTTTCATTTTTCTAAACAAAAATCGTTCTTTCTATTGAAAAAATATCGTAGAATACAAAAAAAACTTCGTACCGCTTCACTTATTAAAATTTGTATTACACCTGTTCAACTCTCAGAAAAATTTTTCTGCCTGTCTGCCCTCCTTCTCTTCACTTGTTTTTTTTTTCTTCGTCATCATATCTCTGATTGATGAATACATAATATCATGCTTTACATATGTTAATCTAGTTTCTTAATAAAAAGTTTTCGATCATTTCTTCAATATTTTTTGATTTAGCTTTCATATGAGCAAGTACATTTTCAAACTGTCCGACTGAATTTTCATCATCTAAAAATATTGACATAGATTTATGATTTATCTCTGAACTGAAATTTATACTAGTGATAAATGTTTTTATTGTTGGTTTTGATGAATGCTTCGATTCTGTTTGATCACCATTTAAGTTATGTATTAATGAAATATCTGATTCTACCATTATTTCTTTTATTGTTCGTTGATGAACAGGTTTTACATCTTCGATTTTTGTTTCATACTCATTTTCCGTTGTATTACTTCTACTCGATACACTTTGAATAGTATCATTATCTGAAGTCTCAGTAGAAGATGGATTAGTAGATATATCGAATTTTTCTGTGAAAATTTGCGATGATGATTCATAATTATCAATCATTTCATTTTCAAAGAAATTATATTCATTAATTGAATCAATTTTATACTAAAAAATAGATAAAAATAGTTTGATTTTATTATAAAAAGTTTTACTAACTAAGCGTTTAATAAGGTATACAATAAATGATAAATCATGAATCTTCGAATAGATTAATAAAAGTTCATTGAATTTAAGATAATCACAATGTTTCAACTTTAAATAAGAACATTTTCCAATTTTATCAATGATATGTGATTTCAAATAATGACGAATATAATAACGACATAGATGTTTAAGTGAAAATACATTAAAACTTGCATAATGTAAACAAGTATGAATAAATGTAATGTAAGTTGTATGTAAACTATAATTATTTATATACAAATGACACTAAAATACAAATCAAAATCATCAAAAATTTCCAAACAAAAAATGATAGTTATCATTTTCACTGGTTCATCATTATCATTGATTGATTTTTTCATTTTTTGTTCATCGTTGATCATAGATTTGCAAATTGGTACAATATTTCGTAATAATGTCACATTTGTTGCTAATGCATAAAATATTAATACAAAAACAATCGAGACATTTGATGAAGACGAAACATTATTAATTAATAATACATGCGGATCATGAGCAATACATTGTATAAGTGCATTTGATATATTGACATTATCTGTATTACACAAAGCATATACTGCAGATTGCCATGAATGACGTTCAAAAAGTCGTTCAACAAGTAGATGATGATCTTGATCTGTACCAATGATAATAGATTGTAGACGATGAAATAAAGTATTCATATGTAATGGTATTGAAAGATTCATCAGTTTATTATATACATGTAGTAAGAGATTGTCACCAATTTTACCATTTTTTGTAATATGAAAATTATATGAAAGTTCATCTGATGGACAACGATCAATGATAAGATTAATTATTTTGAAAATATGTTCAAGATTTTCTTTACATTGATTGTTTTCAAGTGAAATATCAGATAAATTGAGAATAAGTTCACATAAATAACAAAGCGGGGTATATCCTATAAAAATAATACACCAGATTAAGGGTACACTACTCTTGTTGGCTATTGCTGGTTTTCGAAGAGTGTGTAACCGATCCGCATGAAATTCTTATTACAGATAGAGCATCTAAAATAAGAAGACATGTATTCGAGAAAAAAAATTGTAAACAAGGTATTCGCGGTTTTTCGGTAGATCCTGCTTTTCCATAGGACTACATCGGCTCTGGTTACGACCTCCGTCTAGTTTTGTTCAAACGAGCTAAAATTTCGATCATAGAGACTTAGAAATAGTTTTCAGAGGTGAAATCAACTGTTTTCGTTTTGAACTTTCTATCCGGATTTATAGAGAGCTGAACGTCAGTGCTTTGGTTTTGGATCTAAACCTTTACGTGTTTCTTCCATAAGAACTAAAGAAAGCAAGATTTTTGGAAAAACTCAAAATCACCTTTAGGATATAGTCTACAACATTTTCAAAAATTTTTTCAGTTCAATCGGACAAAGTTATATGGGGATTGCAAGGAGGCACAATGTTTTCCTATAGAAAACCACAGTTTTCCGAAAAGAACGCGAAAACTGTGCTTCAAATTTTTTTCTCCTTAAACATGACTCTTCTTATTTTAGGTGTTGTATCTGTGGTGAAAGCCTTATGCGGATCGACTGTACCCTCCTTGGAAAATGGAAATGGTCAAAAAACAAGGAAAGAATATCCTTAAATAATAAAACAAGCAAGAATGCAAAAAGAAATTTTGTTATTCACCTTGTTTATCTTTTATACAAACATTTATATTCGGTAAAGTAATTAAGTATTCAACGAGATCATAATTTTCTTTTCTAATTGCAAAATGCAAACTTGTTCGATGAATATTATCTTGTAAACTGTAAAAAGAAAAGAAATGCCAATTTCATTTGTCTTAAGAACTCACATAATTCATACTTAGGTAAAGCTCCATGATTCAATAAAAGTTTTGTTATTTCAATATCATTCTTATGTCTTGTACCATACAATGCTATATAATGAAGAGCAGTTAGACCAAATCGATCACATAAATTTGTATCTACTCCAATATCAAGTACTATTTGAATTTCTTCGATGTTTCCATGAATTACAGCATAATGAAGAATAGTTTGACTAAATAATCCATTTTTCACATTAATATTTAATTCGATTCGTGCTAACTGATACAATTCTTCAATAGAACTATAGAGACCGGCTATAGTTAAATACCATAAAAGTGTATTTTGATGTTTATCGAATTGATTTATTTCTTCAGCAAATATATTTTTATGCGTCATTTTGAAGTCACGTAATGTATGACGAAAGGATGAGGTACCAGATATAAGTGCCGATCGTAATACTATGGTCATATTTGTATTTAAAAAGGAAGAATGACCAAGTATTATTTGAGCTATATGATCTGAGGATAAAGATTGTTGAAAAATCTTATCGAATGGAATTGATATATCGGATTTGAGAACAGGCGATGTAAATTTATGTGTAAATAGCTTAGAAGTATTATTTACCGATGAATCTTCTAAGATTTTCATGTCAAGTACATGACATAGAACATGTTGTGATACGTTGGATAATGGCATTGATCCATTAATAATTAATTGATTGATATTGAGTGATTGCATTTTCTAATTTAGAGTAAAAACGCAATATTTAGCGCTTTGTATTTTCAATATTCTATTTCCATTGTGAAGTTTTCCATTGACTGTCAATATTGTGAAACAAGCTTAAAATCTCTATTTCATGGTAGATTATTAATATATTGTTACATACGATCATTAATCAAGTAAACTGAAGAAAAAAAAATCAATAAAATATTTTTTTTCTATTATATTAATATCAAACTCAAACATACAATGAGAAGAATGATTAAAAGTTGAATATTGCTTTTAGACAAATGCAGTGCATTTATGAATAATAATTTAGAAAATTTTTTATAATGCTTCATCGATCTGATTAATCAGTGCAATATTTAGAACGAATTCCCGCATTATATATTGTACAGCTTGCGATTACACAACATATTTTCACAATTTTAATATAACTACAACTAGAAAAAGATGAAGAACACTTCAAGGTTTTTACGATTGTATTTATTAATTTTCTTTTCATCTTCATCAATTTGTTGTTAGTGATTACATTGTTTCTCATTTTCAATAATAATAAAAAAAATGCAACAAAAATATCGTAAACACATTGGATTGTATCATCACGAAAAAAAATACAATAAATTGAAGTTGTTCACATCATTATCTGAAAAAGCGGCAACATTTGATGAAAAATCGTTACAAAAAAGAAGATGATTAAGGACGTATAATAAGAAAAAAAGGAGATAAATGGCTGAACAAACGAAACGAAAGGAGAAAATGGATTAAGAAAGGCAGTCTTTAAAGAGAAAAAGTCTTTGGGTTGTCGTCGCCTTTCCCAGAACACATCTAGGAAGAGTTGAACGATAATGATACATCTGTTTGTTCTTAATTGTGATTGGCAGAAATATTCTTCATATATTCGTGATGCGTGTTTACGAGAATGCTGTACTTGCTATTTCTTGCCACTTTTAGCAGCTACTGCTGCTGATTTGGTGACTTTGCCTGAACTTGCAGCTTTCTTTTCCACATCTTTAATAACACCTACAGCGACTGTTTGTCGCATATCACGTACAGCAAATCGACCCAATGGTGGATAGTCAGCAAATCTTTCAACGCACATTGGTTTCGATGGAATCATTTTTATCATAGCAGCTTCACCCGATTTTAGGAATTTTGGTGCTTCTTCAATTGTTTTACCTGATCGACGATCA